GGTGTCATGGCTCCTTCCCCACTCTGGCGTGATAAATGCAGAAGTGGGGGCCAGCAAGTGTACCCCAAAGCCTTATCTTCCCCCAAAATCTTAATCTAGATTTTGGAAATAAAACTTCTGCTGCCACCACCCAAATATTAATAACGAGATTAGGGGAAAGATCATTTGGGAAATCTCACCCCTATTATAAAAATCAGGACACACAAGTCACCAATGCCAGGTTAATAAAAAGAAAGGAGAAACTTTTATTATTACAACAATATTCCTGTTGCAAGCATAAGGATTAGATGGAAAGGTAACAAAATATACTCATGGAGGAATTACACCATGGGCTAGAACTTAGTTAAAAAGAAAAGCCATTCATCTCTTAAGCAGTGCCAGATATCAGATCCCATACCCAATCCTTAAAACAAGAAAGTCTAATGAAACTACCTAAATTTTACCCTACTTACAGAAAGTGAAGAATTGTTTCTTGGAGAGAGACACATGCTTGTCCCTCCCTGTAGCTGCAGAGGACTCACCCAGAGAGACAAAGGAGGAAAAAACCCAAATTCCTTTGTCCCAGTTTGAAAGTCCTACCTACATTCCTATTGGTCACTCCACCTGGCTAGGTGTAGTTTACTACTTAATCCCCAGGCTGCTGTTTAACCCTCATAATCATGACAGGCGGCGCTGTGGGACCAACCCGGCAGCACCCCAGCTTCTCCAATTGTCCGGCTGGCTGGAGCACTTCCGGTTTCCGGTTGGTGCCAGATTATCAGGAGTGCTGGACCACTGGATGCCAGACAATTGGCGTTTTACTGTAGTATTGCATAGTATACATGCTTTTGGAGTGCCATCCATCTTCTATTTTGAATTTTGTTTTCTAAACTACTGTGTCAAACACCTTTGTCCAATTTCAGCTCAGAAGAAAATACCAAACACAGTCCTTTTCATTAGTAGTACAGTACTCTATTTTACGCTCTCTGAAAAAAATAATAGTCACAGGAAAAAGCCTGCACAATCAAAATTATAAACTTGTTATCTGGGAGATGCCCAGATGAATTATAGCACTATTTTTATAGAACTGTGATGGACATTATTTTTTCTTATGTTTTCTATTTAAGTAGAACCTAAACTATCATTTTAAAATATACTGTTTTGGACTTGAAGGTGGTGGTGGTTGTTATATGTGAGCTTTAAACTTGAGGCATAAATGTTGTAAAAAAGGAATATTACTAGTTGAAGACAAATTAGCGTATATAATGCTGTATAGGAAATATTTTTTGTTGTTTTTTTAAAACTATATATTCTGTTGCAGGGTTATAGACCTCTGCAGGAATGTAAAGGAAAGAATAGTGAGAGAATGCAAAGAAAAAGGTGTCCAGTTTGCTCCATTTTCTACCTGCAGGTGAGATGCACATCAGTGTTAAGTCTCTTTGTAGTTCTGGAATGTTTTTAGTTGTTGAAGTACATTTTATTACTACTTTTTACCAGTTCTTTCATACCAAATAGTTAATCTACTACTAGCTTAACCAACTGGCACAGTTTAAAGTGTGGCCACTAATGATCTTGTTCTCTAACCTAGTCATGTGAACAGCAGTAGGGTCACTTGAGTAATCACTTTGAGTGGCACTTGGTTAATCTTCTGACACTTATTTTTCTGTATTTCCACCAGGCAGCCAAGTATAGCATCATAGATTTGAGCCCTTAAATTCTAATAGTCATAGAACTGATTGACCTGCAGAGAGAATATTTTTTAAGACTAGTTGCTAGAAATGAACTTGAATAGTATGAGAATAAATATACATTAACTTCTTATTCATTGAATTTTAAATCCAAAATTATAGCAAGCTATGAAAATAGTTATTTCAAATTTTTTTCTAAGATGGGAAATGTTAACTCTAGATTTAACAGAACCGTTTGTCTTAACTGGTTTTAAGCCTCTGCCTCTCATAAAGGATCTGATGACAAAGGGTTTACACAGTAAAAGCACAGATACCTGCATGTGTAAATCACGAAGTGCAAAACAGGGACTATATATGTAAAAAAAAAGTGAGAAACATTTGCTCTTTAAACAGCTAGGGTGTGTCTAGACTACATGGCTCCGTCGACGGAGCCATGTAGTCTAGACACACCCTAGCTGTTTAAAGAGCAAATGTTTCTCACTTTTTTTTTACATATATAGTCCCTGTTTTGCACTTCGTGATTTACACATGCAGGTATCTGTGCTTTTACTGTGTTCTTATAGCTCAAATTTCAGTAACTAGATAAGTTAACTATATTCCATCCATCATGGGATTGACCCCGTGTTCATGAGACATGGCTTTTTGAAAAATGATGAATTGTGAAAATAAGACGAGAAACTAGTTTAACTGGTTTTGCCTCTTGCCAAGAGTGATCTACAATCATGAACTAAAAAGCTGAAATGAAAATTGATTTGAGCATAGATTGTGCCTAATGCCTCAGTAGCTTGGTTGTGGAGGAGAGTGCAGAAGCAGGTAAAATTGGAGGGGAAAATCACTACAGTAATTTTGTCACTTCCCATTTTTGTTGAAAATATTGCGGAGAGATTGTTCCGTGATACCAGAAGTTTCATTGTAACCCATAGTCTTGATGTGCATTGGATCCTGAAAAATGTTCAGCAAACTAGATTTGTAAGAGTTCTTAACCACATTGCACTGAGTGTTGCAATACATTACACCTTGGCTGTGTCTACACTGGCATCCCTTCCGGAAAAGTATACCGGCGCCACTCCAGGGGGCTCCCTGCTGGCCCTACGGATACTGCTAAGGGAAAAAAAGCTCCGGAATCCATGCACGCGACGCGCGTACACCTAATCAGAATGGACATGAGCAAGCACTCGAAGAAGAATAAACCCTTTTCCGGAGGATCTTTTATTCCTACTTTCAAGTAGGAATAAAAGATCCTCCGGAAAAGGGTTTATTCTTCTTCGAGTGCTTGCTCATGTCCATTCTGATTAGGTGTACGCGCGTCGCGTGCATGGATTCCGGAGCTTTTTTTCCCTTAGCAGTATCCATAGGGCCAGCAGGGAGCCCCCTGGAGTGGCGCCGGTATACCGGTGCATATATACCCCTGCTGGCCCTCCCACCTCCTCAGTTCCTTCTTACCGCCTGTGACAGTAGCTGGAGCATGCTTCAGGCTGATAGCCTATCTCTTAACAGCTTATTTCTTATCTGTTGTATTATAGTTCTAGTTGAAGTTTTTATCTAGTTAAGTAGTTGTTAAGTGTTGTAAATATTTAGTTAGATAGGGGAGCAGTGGAACCCTCCCGTGAGGAGAGGACATGCCAGGGCTCCAGGGTTTTAAACCCTGTACTTCCTGCTCCAAACCTATGCCCTGCGGAGATCCCCACTCCGACTTCCTAAAGTGTCTGGGTGAGGCCCATTGAGCTGAAAGCTGCTCTATCTGTAAGAGCTTTAAGCCCCGGACCAAGGAGGAGAGGGACTCCCGGCTGAAACTCCTGCTAATGGAGTCGGCACTGCAGCCTCAGAGCGAGGAGCGGCCTCACTCTGCCCACAGCGCACCGTCGGTGGCACCCCCGTTGGACAGCACGGCACCGAGGCACAGATCGCAGTCCCCGATGCCGAGGGCCTCCAAGAGCTTGAGGGGATGCTCGGTAGAGAGGAGTGCCCAGAAGGTGCGCCCTAAGGAGCGCACCTTTCTTCTAAGTCCTCCAAAAAGAGGCGCAGCCCGGACAGGGGCAAGATCCCAGGGCAGCCCGTGGGGCTAGGATAGGTCCGTCGGCCCTCCACCCCAGAAACTTTTGAGGCGGCCTGGGACCTCATTCACATAGCTGTGGATGAAGGGGAGGGCCCGGTGCCGCAGGAGCAGACCGCGCCAGCACCGGCCTTAAGTGCCCCCCAGCAGGCTATGGCCGGGTCGTGGGACCCTCTGGGCGAAGGGCAGGCCTCAGCCCAGCAGCAGTTTTTCCTGGTGCCAGGAAGAATGCTGGCACTGGAGCCGGGACGAATGTCGGCACCGGAGCCGGGCCCCTTCCCGACGGCAGCGGCACCGGGAGCGAGTGCACTTGCGGCACCGACAGCACCGGCACCGGTGCAGGGGCCGGGGCCAC